CCCCCCCCCCCCAGAAATTCTGGATGGTGTAAAAACACCTTCTTAAACGGTAAGTCTCTGTCGCCGTGGCCCGTGAGAGGATGCCTATAAATAGAATAAATAGAAAAACCTGTTGAATGCAACAATTTCAAAGTATTTTAACCTTAAAATGAATAAAACTGGGTGATTTTTAGGCAGAAATTGAGGGAAGATTAGCGCCACAAGTGCTTCGAGATGCGCTCAAATAGAGTTAAAATTTCACAAATTTTCCGGGGGAGACCCCCCGGTGGTGAGGGGCCAGTCCCCCCCCCCCCCCCAGCAAAATGACCTAGCAACGCCTATGATGTTTTCTTGGCAATTATTATTATTATTATTATTTTTTTTTCAGTCCTGAGTGTTTTTTCTCAATCATTTTTCTCCTATCCTCAGATAGTTAATCTTTTTGTCCCAACGGCGAACCATACCAACCCACATTTTCAAAAAAATTGAGTTCCGAATGTTTTTTAGTTCCACTCCCTGTAAAAACCCGAAGACGAAACAAAAATAGTCTGTGAAAAGAGGAGTTAGCGTTCATTTTCTACATTGAGTCTGATGAAGGATTATCAAAACTCGTCTCCTAAGGTTCAAGTTTAAGCGGGTTGGTTCCTTCCTGTTAAACTCCGTCCAAGTCGAGGTTTTCGACATTTCTACCACCGCGGATGTATCACGTTTTTGCGCACGTAATCGGGCAGCGTGCAGTGAAAAGGGAATGGAACAGGGTTCTTGCGGTCTGAAGGAGGGGTGACAGACCTCCCAACATGTCTCTCTGTCTGAAATCGAGCGGCACGCGCCGATCAGTTCTCAAAGGAAACGAAAAGCAAAAGTTAGGACGACGCGGAACTCCGACGCCAACACAGACAGAATACAGTCTGCAGGAGCAGACACCCCTGCGTGCACCAATCAAAATCAGTTTTGATCGGGAGCGGCCAACTCCGCGTTCCCCACTCCACGCCGCTCATGTCATGCAGATTCATCACTCTACAGGCATTTTTCGGTCGGTGGTCGCACTAGTTGGTCGCAACCTCTCTCGCCCGGTCGGAGTGAAGCCCTCATCCTCATGGCTGCAAGTAATTTTCCTTTCATGAAAGATTATAAGACTTCGAACTCTGAATCTTGGCTCGTTTGTTTCGCGAGAACTCTTTGGTGTATGTGGTAACGATCGTGTGAAGTGATTCATTCCCGAAATTTATTAACGTGTATGTCCATCATGTTACAATAACGTGCAACAGGTAACATGAAGCCTTCATGGCTGCCAGTGATTTTTCTTTCATGAAAGGTTTTAAGACTTCGAACACTGAATCTTAGCTCGTTTGTTTCGCGAGAACTCTTCGGTGACTCGGTGTCTGTGGAAACGATCGTGTGAGGAATTCGTCGCTTGAATTGAACCTTTCATTTACCGAAAGTTTTCAACTTGTGCCCGGTGTCCGTGTGAATTGAATGAAGGCAAACTGCTCAAAATTTCCACCGATTTTGTCGTTTCATTTAGGTTCATCGTTTTCGGCATGTATCTCTGCCGTAAGTGTTTCGGTACCATCGTATGTTTCGCGATAACTCCTCAGCAATAGAACGATCGTATGCCTACTAATTTGTCATTGAACTGGATGGTCGCCATTGCACGAGGGTCTCTCTTTTTCTCGAATTTTTTTGTTAACCCTTGTGCGGCGTTTAAGTGAACGGATTTCGGGTAATTGATTTTTGATTTTATCCAAAATTTTCATCGATTTTCGTCATTTCCAGTGTTTCGAGTGTGCTCATGTGAACTTCTCCGTTTTTCTTCGGACGTATTCGCGCGGGATTTTCTTCATCGCTCAGTGACCTGTTGAGCGTGGATTCGGGATTTTCGCCATTTCCAGTGTTTCGGGTGTGCCTATGTGAACTTCTTCATTTTCCTTTGAACGTTTTCGCGCGGGATTTTCTTCATTGCTCGGTGGCCTGTTGAGCGCGGATTCGGGAGTGATGTTCGTTCCTTCGTGTGAGGGTGTGTGGTCCTGTGTGCCGCGTGCGTTGCAGTATTTCTTAGACACAATGTCGGCTTTGCGTTTAAAGTGTGTCCAAGTCCTTCTCAATCCATCTACCACGATTAATTTGATTAATTTACCATTTGAAGAAGTCTGATATCTGGTCGAAGCTTCCTTTGATGCGTGTATATCTTGGCGTTGGTCTGGATTCAGGTCAGAATTATTAGCACATACTTACTTAAATTCTGCTCAGATTTGGTGTCATAATTGTAAAATTGTGTGTAACCTCCCATAGGTATTTTACTCACCCTTTTCTCGTCTTCCTTCGCCTAATCATTTCCGTTCTGTCTTTCTTAACGTTTATTGTGCCTCATTTTGATAGTTCTTAACCATCCTCCCGCAAAATCTAAGAGCAAGTATGGACATGAGTGAATATATTGTTATTTTCCTTAGCTAGGTACTTCTAATCCATTGGCAATCGTTGCTATCACATTTTTCTACGCCTGCAGAAATGTCTTGCACGTGCAGACTTCGCAACTACTGAGGAATCAATATTTTAGTATTTGAGTTGAACAATCCGGGAAGTTCCAAAGTAGATTTTTTAGGTACCTGCAATTAATTTAATACCGTGCATAGTCCTCTCAGATAATCTGCATAGCTGAAAGTAGCTTTATAATCAGTAAATGTTCTCACCTAAGTATATATTTTCTCATTTCATCGCATGCAAAGACACGAACAATTTTGAGATGGTTCCTATGATCATTTGTAGAGTTTAATCTTAGGTTTTTAATACAATTTTTTTTTTTTAAAGCTTACTTTTTGAGTGCCCTCTTTCTTTGACTAGGCCCATCAGGTAAAATTGAAGAGAGAGAAAGAATAGATGAAAGGGGAAGGGGGGGGGAGCGAACATCCAATGTCACAAGAACCTTACCTTAATTTTTCTTAAGTACGGCCTCTGGTATGAGACTCAAAATGTGTCTCGGAGATATCCAAAATTCCCAGATTTTCCGGAGCAGACCCTCCTAAATTTCTCTATGCGCTGAAAAAAACTCAGGCTCCCAGTAAAGCAGGCCCCCCCCCCCCCCCCCCCCCCCCCCCCCCCCCCCCCCCCCCCCCCCCCCCCCCCCCCCCCCCCCCCCCCCCCCCCCCCCCCCCCCCCCCCCCCCCCCCC